TTTTTTAATTATGCATAAAGAACTGGGGTATAGGCCAGAGGTGCAGGGGCGGTGAGAGGATTCACCAGAGACAGAGTGGGGGGCAGAACAGGTAGACTGATGAAGTACACTACTGAGGAGAGCAGCGGGCAAGATAGGAGAGGTCTATTGCACTATGTGGGTAACCTCCCTGGTGGTGGTGGAACTCATGCTATTGTGGCTGCTACTAGCTTTGTAGTGCTTTGCTTTAACCTGTTGCACCACCAGGGAGGACCCATGATGGTATCTTTAAGGTATTTTAAAAGTAATTCATGCTCTTGAGTAATGTTAAATAAAGGAGTTCTCTGAAATTTCTACCTGCATACACAGTTTTTACATTATTCAAACTAACAACTGCTAATATTTTTTGTGTATCTTCAAATATTCTATATATTCCAAAGATATGTGAATATCTGTATATTTATGCATTTCATTATTATTATTTTATGAAACAAGATATAAATGTTGTAATAGATTTTTACTTAAAATATCTTGAAATTTTTCAAGCAGAACAGAAATGTATGGCTTCCTTTTATGCAAACTTAAAAATGTATGCTGATGCATGGTTTTGAAATTTAAGTTACTCCCTTTACTGTTTACCTTAGGCTGATTCTAAGATACAGCATCACAAACAATGGAACATATATATTTATCTTTGTAGATATCAACAATTATACCTACAGAGCAAGCTCATAGTAAAAGTGTGACTTGTTTGAGTTTGGTTATCAGCTGAAAGGTCTGTGTTTTTAGGATATATGGTTTATCTCTCATTAGCAGTAAACACAGGGACTCATGTATTTCTACAGTTTCTTTTGTCAAGAGACCTTTGGCAAAAAAAAAAAAAAAAGTAAAAGGTATCATTTGTCACTTAAATGAGTGATGTGAAATAGAGAAAACATGGAATGGAACTTCACCCTAAAGTGGCTATTCATTAATACCAGGGTTTGCTCATATTTAACATTTTCTTGTCTCATTTAAAAAAAAAAAAAAAAGGTCT